GTCTAATATTGCTCTCTATATCATTTTGGGCTCTTTGTTGAAAAGAACATAACCCAGTTTAACTGGCTTAAAAAATTAGGTTAAGTAACAATAAAAGTGTGAAAGCTTTAGTACAAAGGGATTCAGGGCGCACACAACTCTGTCAGAATGTGTTTTCTCTCTGCTACTTAACCTCTGCATCCTGCTGTGTTGGTTTTAGTTTCATTCTTAGCCCTGGTTTCTCAATTTGTGGAGGCATGATAGCTGCAGCTGCTCTGGCCTCTGTCCTCACTGATACTGCTCCAGGGGAGTGTTCAGGGACTCTTGCTTCAGAAAGCTCCATAAAAGCCTTGTCATGTCTTATTGGCTCCAGATAGGCCTCTTCCTAAACCAAATTACTGTGGCCAGGGAATATTATGAAGTGCTTGGCTTAGATGTGGGGTCTCATCCTATGGCTTGGCTTAATTATAGGGAGTGGGAAAACTAAAATTGAGGGTGTTATCAGAAGGGAAATAGTTACTGGAGGAAAAAACAAAACATGTTGAAGAAATTTTATAAGCACTAATATTGTAATGTTATAATGAAAGAAATATAGTAATAGTCATGTGTTGAATTTTCTCGAGTCAGGAAGTTACTAACCTGAGGGTCCTGAAGTAGAAATGAGGATAGGGGAGAGTAAATGTAATCTAAATACTAAATAAAAAGAAAAAGAAAAGATCTTAAGACAATGGACAGGTGCAGTTAACTGAGCTGTGAAAGTCTCTGTGATAAATGGGCTTGTGACCTGCAGGTCCCTCATCTCATAGGGGAGCTGACACTTGGAAATACCCCACTTGGGCTCAGGATGTGGTAAGTGATTTAAAACTGAGCTTGCGTTTTGACTAAGAGACAAAATGTTTTCTTTTGGCCCTCACGTTTTGACTAAGAGACAAAATGTTTTCTTTTGGCCCTCACAGTGAGCTAATTTAATGGGAGTGTTTCTAAAAAAACACACACAGCATTTCCACCAAGCCCTTTGGGAATTTAAGTGAAATGATTTACAAATCTAGGTGGTATACAATGTACCCTGGAGTTACAACTGGCCTGACATAGGAACAACCTGGTTTATGACCAGAAGTTTAGTATTAACTTATATTGGCCACTTGTGCTTCCAGATAGTCTCAGATACAGATTGAGCCCTTAAAGAGTTCTGAAGGAACATTACAACATCCTTTCCTGTGTAGGGTTGAGAAATCCTGGGCCAGTGTCTCTTTAAGGACACTGAGATCTGCCTGTATTCAGGAGAGAGACTTTGAAGTCTTTGTAGAGGAGCCTGAGCTTTCATTGACTAACTTGAGTTACAACCAGCCCTGGTGAACGCATTGAGTTCGTAAGTCAGGGGTCCTCTGTAGATCCAAACTTACTAGACTTGAGAACTTATTTGGCACATATGAATGGTGCTTTGTAAAAATTCAAATTGTTAAAGTTTAAAAATAAAAATTCACTTAAAAATATGGATCTCTGTGAAATAAGTAGGACACATATGTGTAAATACCGAATAGTTTCTCTAGTGTGAGAAACTGAAAGTGTAAATAAGGATTAAAATGATTAAAACGAATAATTGAAAGTTTGAAATAGGAAGAAAATGTCCAGAGGGGTAGGGGAAATGGGAGGGGAAGGGGAAAGGATAGAAGGGAAAGGAAAAATTATGAGAAAAGGAAAAAATGGAAACAAACTCTTTGTAAATAGGGAAGGGTGGAGGGGAGGAAGGGATCACAGGGAATGGGGAAAAAATAAGAGCCAAGATGCATCATGTACAGGTACAGGCACCCAATAATAAATGTAAATGTATTGTATACCTAAAATATACCAATAAAAGAATTTAAGCAAAAAAAATATGGATCTCTGCTTCCTTATGTACATGTACCAGTTCCTGACCATGAATATAATCATTGTTTACTGCAAACATATACTAATAAAAAAAAAATCAGATAGCAACCTTGGCCCTGATTCCCTTTGGCAATAATTCATTGACGCTCTGTAGTAGTGGCCCTTTGATGTGCTTCTTCTTCATAGCCCCTGTGTAGCTTGAATCACACATTAGACTTTCCCTGCATGATCCTTGTAGGCTTAGAGGCAAGGACTAGATTTCTAGGCGGCTGGCAGCACGGATGTATGAGGGAAATGGATGAAGACTGGAGAGTCAAATCCTTCTTTCATCCAGGATCAGGAACCAGGAAAAATATTCATGGCTAATAGAATGCAAGTGTTGCTGAACTTGGGGATATGGCTGTTGCTGGACAGTATGTCTTGATATGAACTTATTTGTATTCTGTGGATTCTAATCTGCTGAGTTTACAGGTTAGGAATAGTCATTTAATGTTGAATTTAGAAAGAATTTGAAGCTTCAGTAAAGTACTAGGGGCTTGGTCTTTTATACCTTCAAATGGTTTTTTTTTGGTACTGGGGATCGAACTCGGGACCTTGCGCTTGCAAGGCAGGCAGTGGAACCACTGAGCTAAATCCCCAGCCCTCCCTCAAATGGTTTTAATCAAAATCTCCTGTGGATACTTACTATGCTTTTATCAGTAAGTTCCACTTTGTATAGTTTCTTATTGCTCAGCTAAGAAAATTACTAACCTTAGCTCTGTTGACAAAGAACCAAAGATTTTCCTACTTGTAGACAGGCTGCAGTGGGGAACATTGAAAGCATGGCAAACCCATAAGTGTACAGTAGATCCTTGATTTACGAATTCACTTTGCTCATCAGGGCTGGTTGGTAACTCAGATTGGTCAACTGAAGACTCAGGCTCCTCTACACAGCCTTCAAAGTCTCTCTCTTATATATACAGGCACATCTCAGTGTCCTCAGAGAGACATTGGCCAAGGATTTCTCAGTTAACTCCACATGGGAAAGGATGTTGTAATGTTCCTTCTAGAACTCTTTAAGGGTTCAAGCTGTATCTGAGACCATCTGGAAGCACAAGCGGCCAGCATTTGGGTCATAACTCAAAACTTTTTTCATAAGTTAAAACTAAACTTCCAGTCATAACCCAAGTTGTGTGTATGTCAGGCTGGTTGTAACTCGAGGGTCCACTGTATCTGTTTGGGTAGAGCTGTGAGCACAGAGTGGAAGGACTGAGGGACAGAAGTGAGGCCAAATTTACATATTGCCATTCTTTGCCTAGGCCATCCCTTCAATACTGCTACACTTAAAGTGTTTGAATTTCAAAGCTGAATAGCACTTGTTTGGTGTTAGCTGGGGATAATAGAAGGAACTCTACGACAAGGGCCTTGTGAGAGGAGACTATTTTTTGGGTTTTTGTGTGTGTTTTGTTTTCCTTGACGTTTGTACTTAACCATTCAATAAGCAACCGTGGCTCTGTACGTTTATCTATTCATTCAGTTGTACAAGTCATGTCACATTTGAATCTCTGTGCTTGGATGATCAAATCTCATATATGAAGTAGTGAAGGTGTGGTGCCAGCACCTTTGATTTCAATTTGATATCCTTTCTTGGGAGTTATTTATTCTAAGTTCTATTATATAACCTTTTAAAGGGTCTATTGTTGAGTCCATTTCTGACTCACCACGTATTTTTACATTGGTGTTCTGCTTTGAGTTATGCATCTCTCCAACTTCCAGTTTGTTTTAATAGGAGAAAGGGATAGTTTTGTCTTAGCATGAATTCTCTACAGACTGATTTTCGAGGAACATCTGTTTCTGTGTTCTTTGAGACTTTGGTCATTGTTTTTTAAAAACTTGTGTATGTGTCAGTGTGCATGTATTTTAGCCCTTTAGCCTTTCTTCTTGCATTGCCATCTCATATAATACAGATAATTTGATTATAGTTAGTCCAGAAACTTCCAGCCCATAGTGATATGTGATATGTCCTGGAGTAACCACTATAATAAATGATATAAATATTAAATATAAAATATTTAAAGCCAGATTTGAATAGAAAATGAATTAGAGAATGATTCTATATTTTCATTAGAAAAGTATCACAAGATTATGTCTTCCACAAAAACGTCAGTTTTAATTAAACTTTTTAGGCATTTACAGTTGAACATGCTAAGCATTATATGAGTTTCTGGAAGATAATAATTCTTGTTTATTTTTAAATCTTCAAGTTTAGCCCTGAACTAATATGTATTTGTTGAATATGTGAATGGATTTAAACTCCCTTACTAGGGAATGAATTTCAGCTCCCTTACTAGGAGCTATATATTGAAGCTTTTAAGTAAAAGAATATTGGTAGTAACTCTAACAGCCATCAAATGCCAGCCCCAAGTTAGTGCCCAAGTGTACAAATGCGCAGCAATGTGATGACTGTGGCTAGCTGTGGAGATGACCACGGTGTTCCCCACCTTCTCTCCCCTTGCCCTCTGTCTCCTGGACCCCTTCTCGTTTGCAAGAGATTTATCCTCTTGTCTCGGTCTATACGTCCTTTATTGTGCTCTTTGTTTGTATTTTGCCTTACTCAAATGAGGGTACTATATGCTTGTGTATCTCATTTATTTCACTCAATATATTTTCCAGATGTATCCATTTTCCTACAAATGGCTCAGATTTATCCCTCTTTATAGCTGAGTAGTATCCCACATTTTCTTTATCCAGTTGTCTGTCGATGGGTATACAGGCTGCTTCAAATATTTAGCTATTAAGAATCATACTGCTATAAGCATTGGTATGCATGTATTGCTGTAGTATAATGTCTTTAGCTCTTTGGAGAAGATACCTAGAAGGGGAATAGCTGGGTCATATGGAATTTCTAATTGTATTTTGTGGAGAAATCTCTATATTATCTTTCATAATGGTTGTACTAGTTTACATTCCCACCAACAGTGGGTCCACAGCAGCCATGCTAACATTTGTACTTCTTTGTGATTGCCATTCTTTTTGGTGTAAGATAGAATCTTAGTGTTGTTTTAATTTGCATTTCTCTTAATGGCCAGAGATGTTGAACATTTTTTCCATATATTTGTTGCCATTTGTACATCTTCTTCTAGGAAGTGTCTGTGCATTTCACTTGCCCATTTCTTTTATTTTAGGTGGTCTAAATTTTTTGAGTTCTTTATATATTCTGGATATTAGTCCTCTGCCTGAGGAATAGCTGGCAAAAGTTATTTCCCATCCTGTAGGTTGTCTCTTCACTCTACTAATTGATTCCTTTGCTGTGCAGAAATGTAGAAACTCGTCTTGTCTGTTGGTGGCACATTTCCCACAAACCACTGTTTTGCTTGGCTCTTTGTTATCTAGCTCTCTTTTTGCTCTGTGAAGAAAAACATCATGAATTAATGAAGTTTACTAAATTTTCCCAATATATGCAACACAATAAGGCCACTGGAAAGACAAAAAGAGTAAGATATGTATCTTTTACCTGCAAGAAGAAAACAGTGAAGTCAGGAAGGTAGGAGAATGAAATAGCAAAATGAAACCATTACAAAGCAATGTAATCAAGAATAATGTTTGTAAACTGAGCAATGTATAAGAGGTGAAGACACCGAGTGTAGGAAAATACAGAGGTGATTATATCTCATTCCAGTGGGAAGGTGTTAGGAAAGTGATGAGTGGACCTTGTCAAGGTTAGAAGTCCAGGTTGTCAACTGAGAGTAGGAGGCAGAGAGCACATTAATTTAGTAGTGTGGGGAGTAATGAAATGGTAAATACTTGGAGAGATGAAAAGAGATAAAAGCATCAACAGTAAGATAACAGTATGTTATTATTTTTGTTCTGTTTTTGCAGGATATTGCCAGGTTTCCTTTTAGGTGGCCACAGAAAAGTCAGTTTGGAAACAAGGGTCACTTTATCCAATGTGTTAGATGTGGCTTAATTGTTTCATAATGGTGCCTAATTGATATTCTTAAGATCTCTAGATTTACCAGGCACCTAAGAAATTATTTGCTTGTTTGCAAATAAGTTGTCTTTATTGCAATTATCTTTTTAAAATAGTTCAGGATCTGGAAAATCTAGGCTGTGACAATCAAATTAATTACTCTTTAAAGAAAACTTTTATAGCTACTCTTTGTAGAATGAATGAAACAGCCAAGCTTAGTTCTTTCAGTGCTGAAGGATGCTCACAAAAAAATATATAATTGGGGCTAGGGATTTACCTCAGTGGTGCTGCCTGCCTCGCAAGTGCAAGGTCCTGAGTTCGATCCCCAGTACCGCCCCCCCGCCAAAAGACAAAAAATATATAATTATATTGTGCCCGTTTAATATATTGTGCTCTCTGTTCAGATGAAGAGTTCCATAGTCCAGGTTTGTATGTAGAGTAGTGAACTAATAATTAATAAAGTAGTAACATTACAGTTCATATTTATATTCAAGAGTCAGTAGATATTCCAATTAACTAAAAAATGTGTTTTAAAAATAATGGGTTGATAGGAAATATGAATTTTGACCTTTTGCAAAATAAATGATATAACTCTATTGTTAAATGTAGTTGAATAAGGAAATTGTTGGAAATATGATAGATGAAAATATTTTCCAAATTTTCCTTTAAGCTCTTCAACGTAATTTTATTTCTTAGCTGTTTCTTTTTTCTTAGCTATTTCAGTGGTCTTGTGATCTTTAAACTTATAATACAGAGTAGGAAGATAGAAAAGGCAAAGGTTGTAGTGGGAGATAAGAGAATACTTTGCGGGGGCTGGGGATTTAGCTCAGTGGTTTTGCCGCCTCCTGCGCAAGCGCAAGGATCTGAGTTCGATCCCTAGTACCAAAAAAAAAAGAAAGAGAATACTTTGCAAAAGAAGGATAAGAGGATACAGGGCAGCAGTAGAAGTGCCGCTCATCAGAAATGATGAAGTGCTCTGGAATCTCTGATCCTGGTCATTTCTATTGAGAAAGGGTATCAAAGTTTTTCCATAAAAGTCAGGAAGGATATATCCTTTTTTTTTACATTCTTTGAAGCAAGTGTATTTTGACCTATCCTGCCTAAGTGCTGCCAAGTCTTCTCAGGGACCTGGAAATTGCCCCTCAGCTTCTCATGTCTTGGTGTCTTATGAAAAACAAGAGGCTTAGAGAAAGCTCTTCTACCCTCAGTCATCAGCCTTCAGTGGTTATGTGGAAAGTAGTCTGTGGGTCCTTTCTGTGTAGGTTCTGTTGCAATTGCTCCCCTGGGACAGAGTCTTTTTGCTCTACCCAGATTTCCCTCCCTTCTCAATGGAAAATCTCTCCATTTTTTCTTAGTGGCTTCTCAGAGATACCCTCTTCCTGTCTACCCCTGACCATCTCCAGGACACCCAATTTAAGTAAACCCTTTAGTAGGTTTATTCTTTTCAAAGACTAAGAGAACCACAGATTCCGTGCTGATTTTGCTTTCTGTGCTGCTAGAATACATAAGAGCTTGTTACTGATTTAAATGAAGATAGAAATGAATAAGCACAATTGAATATTTCAGCAAATTATTCTTCCACAGTAATATTAACTATTTTAAGTGTTCAAGATTAAAGTATTTTAACAACAACAACAACAAGTTTCCACAAGCCTTGGGAAAATTTCCCCTGTTCAAAAATATATTCTTAATCATTGTTATGGTTTATATCTAGATGTCACCCATATTGCATATGATGCCATATATATGTAGTAAAACTTAAGACTTGAAGGTGACACAATGAATTAAGAACAGTGGTTGTCTATGCAAAGAACGGCAAGGGGCAGGGCTTGGGAAGAGGACAAACTGAATGTATTACTTTTTATAAAAGACTTACTTAAAGGAATTTTATTTAAAATTTAAGTATTTAAAAGAATGTGTCTTAAACCAAAGCCACAAATCACTAGTAAAAGAAACTCAGGGCCTAGACATGTAGCTTAGTGATGCAGCACTTGCCTAACACATGCAAGGTCCTGGTTTGATCCCCAGCACAACAAAAACAAAACAAAAACTCTCAGAGAGTAAAACAATATAAAGTTGATTGTCTTAATTACTTTCTCATCATTGAGACACAATACCCAACACCCAGAACTAAAAGAAGGAAAGGTTTATTTTGGCTCAGTGTGTAGAGGTTTCAGTCCATAGTGGCTGGCTCCAAGGTAGGGTGGCATGGCAGAGGGGCATGGCAGAGAAAAAGTGCCTTCATAGCTTGATAGCAGGAAGCAGAGAGAGAGAGACATCAAGGGAGATGGGAGGAAGTTAAATCCTTCCAGGCCACACCCACAGTGACCCACCTTCTCTGACCAGACTTCACCTCCCAAATCACACTTAGCTATAAACTCTTCAGTGGACTAATCCATGGATGAGAACCACTCCTCCATGATCTAATCACTTTCCAGAAGTCTCACCTGGGTATTATAGTATATATGGATATAATCCATAACAGTGATTTTTTTTTTGAGACATAGTTTCGCTGTGCAGTTCAGGCTGGCCTTGAATTCAACTATGTAACCCAGGCTGGCCTTGAACTCGCAAGGACCTTCCTACCTCAGCCTCCTGAGTGCTGGAATTACAGGGGTACACCATCATGCCTGGCTTTTGTTATTGTATTTTATATTACTGGGTGAGGAAGTAAGGGAAGGAAAGAGATTTTGGAGGATGATGAAGGGGAAGCCTGCGTGAGCTAAATCAGAAGCAAGCTTGAAAACAGAATCTGAAGTTTCCTGGACTACGGCAACTTTGGGAGGAGGGAAAATAGAGTAGCTGGAAAGCTAGAAGGTGCCAGTGGACACTGGTGAAGACAGCTTTGGTCTCATGTAGTTGGGAGTTTTAGGGTTGGTAGAAGGACACAAAAATCTTGGTCTTAAGACAGGTCAGGGCTGTTCCTAATGCTCTTTTCCCTGAAACTGCACTAAGAAGGGCTTTAGGTCCTGACAATCATAAAAGATTGTTTCAACTAACTTTAGTTAAGCTTTAAAAGGCTCAAGATATTAGAAGTTTGAGGAAGGATAAAAGATCACATTCAGTTGCATCTAAATTAAAAGTTTATTGTTTTGGAATGTGCTTCCTTTACCTTCCAAATATATATTTGGTTGTGTCAGGGTACCTTTGAGGATGGGGAGAAGAAAAAAAGAATGTGTAATTGGGGAAAGAATGTTCAATTTAAAATAATCTGTGTTAAAGGAAAAAAAGCAAGTGAAAAGCAGTATTGGAATTATTGAAGAAATGTGGGGAACATGTCAAAATCCATAGGAAGAGTCAGTGATTTCACTGGGTTCTGAGCTGCATCTTTCAGGGTTGGCTTTGGTAGTTCAGGTCTTTGGCTTCTCCCTCTCCCTCTCCCTCTCTCCTCCCTCTTCCCTCTCTTTTTTGAGGGGGATGTTATTAAGACAGGGTCTTTTTTTTTCCCTTTGAGACAGGGTCTCACTATGTAGTTCAGGCTGGCCTTGAACTCACTATGTAGTCTAGGTTGGCCTTGAACTCACAGAGATCCTCCTGGCTCAGCCTCCCAAGTGCTGGGATTATAGAATGCACCAATATGCCTGGCAGCTCATGTCTTCTGGTTTGTGTTTTGAGCAAATATCTTAAGTGTTTGGGTATTGACTAAATGACAAGTTCTTCAAAATTGCAAAGTAATTACTATTAACTATTCTAGAGTGTTTTATTGTGACAAGTTACATATGCTTGACAAATATGAGTTGAGGGCCAGGGATGTAGCTTAGTGGTGCCATGCCTGCCTGGCCTGGTACTGGAAAAAAAAAAACAAATATGAGTTGACCTAATTAGAGATTTCCCTCACACTTTACACAGGGTGATTTCTTTTAAAATGCAAGTTATTTCACAAGAATATAATACGTAATGTTATGATATAAATAAATATTTGTACATTTATATGGCTTGATATCAGATTATATTTGGGAGGTCTGCATCCTGGCTGAGAGGCAGGAATGATATAGGTTGGGTTCTACCATAACTTATCTGGAAAACTGAGAGTGATTTACTTTGAGATCTTGAGAAGGTTACTCCATCCATGATCATGCCTTTCTTGATTGCCACATGGGGACAGGGCCTACCTTATGGAATGGTGAGAATTAAATGAAATATAATACACACAAAGCAGTTAAGACATTGTATGGCAGATTAATTACCCACGAGAAGGACTAGTAAGAGAAATAAGGGTTACTAGTTATTGGGTCATCAGGCTGTTTTTCTAAATTTTGTATACTCGTTTAGGTTGATGGAACACATTCTCTTCCATTTTCAAAAAGTCTGTGCTTTTATTGTAGGAGAAATATTTTTTCAATGAAAAACCCTATATCCAGCTTGAGTATCATGTAATTATTAGATTAGCCTTTTATACATCAAATCAAACTACTGTGTTTTCTTAGCCAATAGGATATTCAACAAATTCATTATGATATGTAACTTCCAAAATTTTTATACAGATTTAATGCAATCTCAATCAAAATACCAACAGCATATCTCACAGAATTAGAAAAAACAATCCTAAAATTCATTTGGAACCAGAAGAGACCTAGAATAGCAAAGGCAATTCTGGGCAACAAAGGCAAGGCTGAGGGTATCACAATCCCTGACCTGAAATTATACTTCAAAGCTACTGTGATAAAAACAGCATGGTACTGGCAAAAGAACAGACCTGAGGATCAATGGAACAGGCTAGAAGATGCAAAAACAACTCCAGACATACTCAGCTACATTATCTTTGACAAAGGAGCCAAACACCTTCACTGGAAGAAAGATAGGCTCTTTAGTATATGGTGCTGGAAAAACTGGCTTTCCACATGCCAAAGATTGAAACTAGAAGCATATATTTTATCATGTACTAACCTAAAATAGAAATGGATTAAAGATCTAAATATTAAAACAGAAACACTAAATCGGCTGGAAGAGAGAATAGGTAGAATGCTTGAGGACATAGGAGTAGGCAAAGACTTCATGACCCAGACCGCAGGGGAAATAGTACAAAGAATCAACAACTGGGACCTCATCTCATTAAAAAGCTTTTGCACAGCAAGAGAAACCACCAACACAGTGAAGAGACAACCCACTGTTTGGGGAAATAATTTTACCAGCAATTCATCAGATAAAGGACTACTATCTAGATTATATAAAGAACTAAAAAAAAAAAAAATCAGACCTCCCAAATTTAAAGACTCAATCCAAAAATGGGAATCTGAAATGAAAAGACACTTCTCAGATGAAGAAGTAGAAACAGCAAATAAATATATGAAAAAATGTTCAACATCACTGGTCATTTGAGAGCTGCAGATGAAAACAATGCTGAAATTCCATCTCACTCCAGAAAGAATGACTGCTATTAAGAAATCAATTAGAGTGCTGGGGATTTAGCTCAGTGGTTTCACTGCCTACCCGAGTTGGATCCCAGGTACCAAAAAAACCACACAAACAAAACCCAAAAAAAATCAAACAATAACAAATGCTGGCAGGGCTGTGGGGAAAAAGGAACACTTCTCCACTGATGGTGGGAGTGTGGACTGTGCAACTACTGTGAAAATCAGTATGGAGATTTCTCAAAAAGCTAAAACTAGGGGTTCCATTTGACCCAGCTATTCTCCTTCTTGGTATCTTCCCAAAAGAATTAAAAGCACCATACCACAGCAGCATATGCACACCCATATTTATAGTGGCACGGTTTGTAATAGCTAGATCTTGGAAACAGCCCAAACACCTATCACCTTAATGTGAGGTTCTCTTGATCCTCAGGTCTGTTCTTTTGTCAGCCAACTATGAACTGAAGCCTCTACAAACTGTGAGCTAAGTAAACCTTTCCTCCTTTAACTTTGGGTGTCGGGTATTTTGTCTCAGCAACAAGAAAAGTAACTAAGAAAATAAACATGCAAGTGATATCACTCCCCTTCATCCATCTGCTATTCTTACTTTTCTGGATCTTGCTTTGTTACTTTAAGAGTATACATATTGGCGATGCAGCTCAGCAGTACAGCCCTTGCCCAGCGCATATGAGGGCCTGGGTTTAGTCTTCAATACTGCAAAAAACAAAAGCATAAAAGAAAAGAGTATATCTTGAAGATTATTCTGTATTTTCTGTTTGTGTCAATTAAATGCTAAAGGACTTAAAGTGACATATTTATGTTTATTAGATATAGAAACAAAGCTTTAAAAATTAGAAACAACAATATATGGGTACATTGCTTTTTAAATAAGTGCTGGTTTTGCTTAAGGGCAAAAGAATTTTTTTGTAATTAATAAGTTTTATAAATTTAAATGGGCATGGCCAAAAATGCAAGGTCAACACAAGGACTGTTAATTTCCAGCCCTTCTGTGCAGTGTAAGTGCTAAAATTGGACCACTATTTTTAAAACTTGAAGCAAGATACAGAAACCATTTTAAATAGGGGACAGGATATGCAGGATGACCACAACCACAAAGGTGAAAAGCCAGCCATAACAGAAGTAGCCTTTTGCAGACCCTAAGGAATTAAGCTTAAAAGTCCCAGTAAGACCAATCAACTTCTTTCAACACAGAGTAGCTATGCCTGTAAGTAGTATTAATTGCAGTAAAACCTTCTAAAAGTAAGAATTCAATACAATGAATATTTAATACTAGATGTGAGGAACTACATCCAAGGAGTCTGACTTTCAGTTGTTTTCCTTTCTCCTTCACTGACTTCAGCTCTTCAGAGATTTTTTTTAACCGTGAATAATTAGTGGGAAATGGAATATTTAAAAAAAATACTTAATTGTACATTAAATTAGAACCACTCCCTAGAAAAATTATAAAAGATAGAAATCTATCCCCTTGAAAGAACATAAAAAAATTCTAAAGAAGTTGGTATACAGATCATGAAAAGTGAGCCATATTCTTTGAGAGTGTCATACAATTTAATATGGTTTTAAAGTCATCAGTGATAAATTTCAGTAAATTATTTTAAAAACTGATGTGCTTCCCTGAAAAATGAGATATTGAACCTCATATAAATATAATTATATATAAGCATGTAAAAGTTTAAAAGGGTGACTTCCTATTTAGCTTCAATTCCTCTTATAAAGCACAAATGTTCACTTATTTTCTGAGGTACATGTGAAATGTCTGATGTAACTAAGTATATCTAAGAGAAGCACAACATAATTTGTATTCTACTTTAACTTTATATTGAATGGATAAACCCTAATTCATCTAAAAATAAGAGTTGCACTATTACATATCAGAAATATTAAAAATGTAATTCCACTTTTAGATATTTGTCATACAGAAATAAACATAGATATAAACAAAGATTTATCTACAGGGATGTTCATTGAACCATTATTTGTAATAAAAATCGGAAGCAATGTAAACACACTGAAACAAGGGATTTGCCAAATAAGTTATGATAGTGTAATATGTGGCCATTAAGTATTATTTTGAAGAACAACATAAAAACATACTGATACTGTGTATGCTCACATTTTCCACCTGCTCCAACAAGAGTACATACACATGCTTAGAGAGTAGATTGGAAAGATAAAGGTAACAAAAAGATAATAGGTGTTATTTCTGGAGAGCACCATTATGGGTAACTTTAATTTTCTGTTCGGGCATTTGTTACCAATTATTTTCAAAAATTGGCACCACTTTAACTTTCTTACGGCCTAATTTTATGCAATTTTTTTCTTTTTATTTGTCTTGGCTACTCACAGAAAGGAGGGGCCCAGTGATCTGGGAGAACATCACACAGGGAAGGGGAAGAATGTAGCAGTGTCTGGTTTATTTTTATTTTATTTTTAAAATGTA